TATTTCGAAAGACGCAGAAAATTGTATCAACCAGGCAGGGCAGTTTAAAAATGGACGCCCAAGTCAAAGGTCGCGTTTGTTTGCTACAGCAGGCCACGATGAATTTAAGAATTCGCATGCTAGGAATGAAATTTATCGTGCTCGTAATCTGCATGAGCGTGCTCAAAGCGAAAACGAACGTGCCCACAGTCCGGATGAATTTGCTGTGAAAAAATACGATATTTCTAAAGATCACAATAAACGTGCCGAAAGTCATTCTAAACGTGCTCATAGTTGTGATCAACGTGCGGAAGGTCATTATGAACGTGCTGAAGATCACAAGGAACCTGATCAAAATCAAGATGAACGTGCTCACGATGAACGTGTCCAAACTCGAGGCGAACGTGTTCAAAATCAGATTAATCGTGCTCGAAATGAGGACAATAATTGTGATAATCTTACCAGAGATATTACCAGCATCCCACAAAACTCCTCATCACAAAATCTTCCCACCAAAAGCCGCCAATATTCCCAAACTATCAACAATGCTAGAGAACAAAAGTTTCTAAACACGATAATCATAATTACATTTCTAGGCGTCATCACTGTCCTACCTGGGTCGATATTCTATCAATTTTGGCATAAATATGCACACGACAATAGGAATGGTCCTGGAATTGTAAAGGCCGTCGTAGAGACGTTATTTTGCTTTAATTTTGCGATCAATCCTTTCATATATTGTTGGCGCTTGGAGCGATATAGGAGAACGTTTAAGATATTGCTCAAATGTAAATCCTAGGTATATATTGAATGTTCATTTTGAGGATGTGTGTTAAGCTAATGTTCCAGTTAGGTTGAGGCCACATTTAGCTCAGTGCACAAAATACCCATCAGAAAGACAACTCCATTGTTTTTTGCGTAAGTGTGTGTCGACATGATTCGTCATGATTCGTCACTCAGCAAATACCGTAATCACACCCCCCCTGTCAATGTTTAAAATCGCGCAATATTTAAATATTCCCAAGGGGGGGGTTGCCTCTATTTACAGTACTTGCTGAGTGACGAATCACACTTATACGCAAAAAACAATGGAGATTCTCGTCTGATAGGTAATCTGCGATTTGAGTGCAGAAGTTATGTCAACCCGTCGCTGTGGACAATAAAGTCGTTTTCTTCTTGAAGAATACGTAATTGACCTCGCTGTGACAATTGAAGTGCCTATACCATGGTTGCGAATTTAAAATATATCAATACATTTTGTTATCGAAAAGTTTTGTCTGAATGGATTTATTAGGCTTTAAATTTACCGGACATGACGTCAAATCGGGAATTTTCTGAAACTTAAACAAAAGAAAACTGATTTGGAATTTCCGATTTGACGTCATGTCCGGTAACTTTAAAGGCTAATAAATCCATCCAGACAAGATTTTTCAATAACAAAATGTATTGCAAAGTTTTTAAAAATACCTCAAACTTTTGATATATTCAAAATCCGCACCATGATATAGGCATTTCGCTAGCAATCTCGTCAGCTGGGATTTGTCAGTAAATATCATTTTCCTGTCAGTAAAAATGTATTTTCTTCTAGATCATTTCTTTAGCACAGAGACTCAAAAACTCGAGTTAAATTTTATCCGCCGGTTGTATTAAACGGTAGTTCACTTTTAACTATAGTTAGTGACAGAATTAGCAAATCAGAATCGTGTATTTTAGAGGTATAACTACGATTTACCTACTCAAAATCTAGGATGAAAGTTTTATACAACCGTCCCAGCTTAATATAACGAATTCTTCCCGTGTCTTCCATGTGAAGTATAAAATCCACTATGAATTTCGTATCGCTTAAGGCCCCTTTTACACTTGCGATTTTTGCTGCGATTTTATGCGATTTTCTTCTTTTGATAGATGTGAACGGGTGAATCAGTTACTAATGTTCAATTAAGAGCTTTTATACATCAGAGCATTCGTAACTAGTCACTCGTTCACATCTACCAAAAGAAGAAAATCGCACCTAAAATTGCAAGTGTAAACAGGCCTTTATGTTAATCAATAAGTATTTTCATAAACAAGTTTAGATCATAAAAAATACATTTATCAAATGCATTATTGAAATTGGAATACGGTTTATTAATTTTTTTTAAAATAAATAGTTGTTCAAGTGAACGAGTGTTAAATATTAAAATATTACATATAATTTTGAAGTCAACCCGTTAACTTTACGGAAAATATAACGTAGCTCATTTGACAGACGACATTCTGGAGCAAAACTTGTTGTTTTTAACATTTTTTTTTCAATTTAATCTCGTGTTGGTGATTGTTAATACCTCAATGATCAAAATTTTTATTATTATTAAAAGCTGCTTTAAGTAACATTCGCAATAATTAAAACCGCTCTTTTAAAAAACAGGACATATCTCATCAGCGACATATCTCATCGGAAATTTGGCGTTATCTGATCTGATGTACAACTTTGTGCTAATACCAACCCTGAACCCGAGCTCTACCATAGAAGCTTGTCTCGTTTTCCAGTTTCGATTGCTTTATACCTCAACGGGGACCATATTTTCGATAGCGCTCGACCGATATTTCATGGTCTGTCATCCTTTTAAACACCGTTTCTTCATGAGCGGCAACAGAATGACTGTGTGGATTGGCATGGTGTGGGTTCTCAGTTCAATCCATTAGTTGAAGAAAATTTTCGCACCAAACGATAACGATTTGTTGGCAAAACCAAGCGTCGCTTTATCCTTGAACATCCTAACCGCGCTCTTGTACGGGAAGAGATATTACCTGTTGAGAAAGCAAGCGAAATCCATGTTAGAAAAAAGATCTGCACTCCCTTCTCAGCAAAGAAACCTTACCTCCAACCAAAGTTGTATTTCGACCGATACTTTAAAAGTTACCACTATTGCTGATTCTAGACGAACCCTATCTTCGTATTCCAAAAATGAACACATTGGGAATAAGACCACAGTTAGTGATGAAATTTGCGGACCGTTTCAAAATCAAAATTACCGTGCTGTGAATGACAGTTATCGTGCTCGCGATTCGCTTGAGCGTTTTGGGGGCGCAAATGACCGTGCTTGTTGTAGTCTGGATGTATTTGTTGAGGAAAATAAAGAACGATCTGAATTGGAACTAAATAAACGTGCTGAAACTCCTACTGAGCGTGCTCCAAATCTTGATGAACGTGTCGAAGGTCATTATGAGCGTGCTCGAAACAGTGTTCAACGTGCGGAGAGTCTTTCTGAACGTATTCAAGTTCACGAGGAACGTGTCCAGTGCTTTAGTGAACGTGTTCAAAACCACGACGAACGTGCTGAAAGTCCAGATAAACGTTCCCAAACTCAAGACGGACGTGTTCGGAATCAGATTACTCGTGCCCGAGGTCGAGATGAAGAACCACGAACCTCGACTAGCATCACGCAAAACCCTTCACCACAAAATCTTTCCGTCGAAAAACGTAAACGTTTCCAAACCATCAACAATGGAAAGGAACAAAAGTTTCTAAACACCATAATCATTATAGCGTTTGTGGCCGTGATCACGGTTGCCCCTGGAACCTTGTACTTACAGGTTTGGCATGGGGCTGCACGTGACAGTAACCATGGATACGGATTTCTGAGCGTCGTCATAGGTTTTATATATTGCCTCAATTTTGCAGTCAATCCCTTTATGTATTGTTGGCGCTTGGGACGGTATAGAAAAACGTTTAAGATACTGCTTGGATGCAAGTCCTAGTCATATTGAATGATCACATTGAAAATGTTAAAGCCACTTGCATTTTTTTTAATGGTCTAGTGCGGTTAACGACGTGAGGTTAAGTTTTTTAATGGCTCATTTATACTCGCGATTTTTGCTGCGTTTTGTGAACTCGTTGATTTTGCTCTGTCTTTGTGAGAAGCAATGACTTTGTGAAGAAGGAATTAAACACCATTGCCAGATTGTTTTGTTAGTTCGACTAACTTAGACACACTAATTTGGTTAGTAATGCTTAGGTTAGCTTTATCAATATCAATTGTAGTGTAATATTTGAAATATGAAATAAACTCTAAGACTTAGCTAAAGCCGGATTAATTTTCAGTCTAAATGTTTCCTTTGCCGTTTTAATTTTTTTGTCGGTTTTCAGATCATTGCTGCATTTTCAGTTGTTTCCCTTAATCCATCTCCATACCTTATGCTGTCTTCAAATATCCATCTCCCACTTTAGTTGTATTCAAATATCCATCCCCATACGTTTAGTTGTATCCAAATATCCATTTGTCTTTAAATATCCATCTCCACACCTTTAGTTGTATCCAAATATCCATCTCCACACCTTTAATTGTCTTCAAATATCCAGCGCTACACACCTTCAGTTGTACCAAATATCCATCTCCAAACTGTAGTTGTATTCAAATATTCATCCCCACACCTTTAGTTGTATCCAAATATCCATCTCCACACCTTTAGTTGTATTCAAATATCCATCCCCACACTTTAGTTGTATTGAAATCTCCATCTCTACACCTTTAGTTGTATTCAAATATCCATCCCCATACGTTTAGTTGTATCCAAATATCCATTTGTCTTCAAATATCCATCTCCACAACTTTAGTTGTATCCAAATATCCATCTCCACACCTTTAATTGTCTTCAAATATCCAGCGCTACACACCTTCAGTTGTACCAAATATCCATCTCCAAACTGTAGTTGTATTCAAATATTCATCCCCACACCTTTAGTTGTATCCAAATATCCATCTCCACACCTTTAGTTGTATTCAAATATCCATCCCCACACTTTAGTTGTATTGAAATCTCCATCTCTACACCTTTAGTTGTATCCAAATATCCATCTCCACACCTTTAGTTGTATCCAAATATCCATCCCCACACACTCAAATTGTGTACATATGTCCCTACATCATAGTGATTTTACATCATCTTTCCACCCTTTCTTGTATATCTATGTCAATAATTACCCTGCCTATGTATTCTGTTTTCCTTCGGCTGTTTCACGCTTTCATTTCATATTTCAGAGAACGCGCCGAACGAGAAAAGGAAGCCGCTAAAAATAAAGAGACTGTCGATTCTGATGACGAAGGCGTTGTTTTTGGAAATGTAAGTTCAATTTTTACAATAATTCCAAAAATTGAAGATTTTTTCTTGAAATACGATTTCAAACACTCGTCGGTTACCAAAAAAGTAACACTTTTGAAAACGACTTGTTATTTAAGGTGTTACCAAGGGTAAAGGATCTCTCGAAAACGAAGGGAAACAGAACAAAAAAATTAGAATTTGAGGAAGAGAATGTGGAAAATGTTGACGAAAACGTGGAACAACCTGAGTTACAAAACGTGGTGAATTGTGCTTTAATTAAACTAACTTTATTTATATTGGATAGCTCTATCAGTTCTAAACTAATAACATCTCCTGTAATCAGGTTAATCAACGGAATACCGAAGATATAATCGAAGAACCTCTGTCAGAAAATATTCATCAACTAAACGAGAGTGAAAACCAAGCAGTAACTAAGAAGAAACGAAAAAAGAAGAAGAAAGCGAAACGTAATCAAACTGTTCCGAGTGACGATGGAGAGAATAGCGACGCTGGAATCGTTTTGAAACCGATTGCTTGGAGAGGTTCATCGATGCCATTAAACGGTTTCCCTGGCAATGGCAGGAAATTAGAGCCAATCAGGGCTCCGCTACACAACAGTGAGTTTGAAAATTCTTTGATTGTGGGCTTTAACACTGGATCAAAAAGTCATGATCCTTTGTGATCATCCTAGTTTGGTTTAAGTTTCCTCCTGTAGTAACACTGGATCAATAAGAGATTATCCTTACTGGACCTCTAGGAAGAACAGTTTAGAACTGATAGAGCTATCCAGCATAAATAAAGTTACTTTAGTTTAGGTTTCCTCCTGTAGTAACACTGGATCAATAAGAGATTATCCTTACTGGACATCTAGGAAGAACAGTTTAGAACTGATTGAGCTATCCATTATCAATAAAGTTAGTTTAGTTTAGGTTTTCTTCTGTAGTAACACCAAATGAATGAGGGATAATCTTCCATGTTTGTCTAAAGATTGATTTAATTTTGTTATAGATCTTTGTTCGCCATCACCTAAAACAAGTCCAGTTTTTGATAAAGACAATCAATTGGAACAGGTATTTGATATATGTTAAACCGTTTTATGATTGTGAAGGCGTTGCCAGAACAGGAATTTTAGGATATAGTGGTTTGCTCCACCATTTATAATATACCTTCTCTTGCTTATAGTTTTGTAATGGTCATAGTCGCTCGTTTCGACCACGACCAAATGAAGAAGATTGTGAAGTCATAACATGACGTCATCGTTGTCAATATCACGATGACATCATCATCCTAAATTATCAAAATAGTCCTTTCTCAACACCTAATTTCTCCACGATGGCAAAATCACTTCGTCTTTTGAGAGGGCTTCGGTTACGTCATGGTGACGTTATTATGGCGAAGTTTCCATAGCAACGCGAGCTTTTACGTCGAATTTAGTGAAATTTTAGAGCTGTGGAAAATTACAGCAATTTCAAATTGGAATTTTATAGTTAGAATCAATGATATTTATTAGGGCAATTCTTTATCTAATTATTTGTAGATATGAAAATGTATATAATATATATTTGCATGTAATTGGGATCTATACAATATGTGAATATATCGTATTTAAATTGCATCATCAGGCAGCATGCCTTAACTCTGTTTTATGAAATACGCAATGAATAAATAATGTTTTCATGTGATTTATATTCACATGACAGTTAAATGGTATTTTATTTATTCAATTTAAAAGCATGCACTTTTAGTAAATAGAATGACATTGCTGAACCAAGCGACAATTTTAGAAAAGAAATATTCTGATAAATGCTGTGAACATTGGGAACTTCATGCTTTATTATAGTTACAGTTTTATTGAGTATTCTACAAAATCTACTATTAAAAGTCTGAACATGATTAGACAAACACTCGTAAGAACAATTACAGCAACTGACAAACAGAACCTCAACTATATAATAACAACATAAGCACAATTTGTGAAAGTCCCATGCAAGGTGCTCACCGTCACAATACAACATACAACGAATCCTACACTGTTAATATTTAAAGACTGATTTGTGGCAAGAGCAGTCAGGCACCAATGTCCACGTGCATGACATGTCTATGTCAAATTTTGCCTCAAAACTGTGTTTGTACGTGTCTTTAATTTATAACTTTGAAATAGAGTCAAAGTATTACCTTGAATATTGTGTCTTGTTTTTAACAACAAATATCTTCACATTGCAATTTTTGCTGTGATTTTATATGCGATTTTCTTCTTTTGGTGGATGTGAACGAGTAATTAGTTACGATGTTCTGATGTATAAAAGCTCTTATTTAAACATCGGTAACTAAATCACTCATTCACATCTATCAAAAGAAGAAAACCGCACATAAAATAAATCGCAGCAAACATTGCAAGTGTAAACGCCTACTACACGGGCCTTAATGGTAAATATCATGGTAAATTTTATGCAAATTTATTATTATTTGCAAATGTTCACCCACATGTTATTTCCATTGCGATTGAGCGGACATATATTTATGATACAACAGAAATCGTTTAATATTTTAACCTAGTATCATGTTTCTTGTTTCAACAAAATCTCCAGTCAAAGGCTGATTTCTTCTTAGCGACATTTATCTGGGATTATGCCAGAAATATTGAGAAATACCTTGCTATTAAAGTATGTTTGCATCACAACGATTCTAAAATGCTGCAACACGCTAGATTCCAGCGTTTGCTGCCCAAGAAATCGTTTTATTTTGTGGTGAGTTATTAGGAACACTTTATTACTTAGTTTGTAGTTTAATATTAACTGGTCGTCTATCATGTTATTCTAAATATATTGTTGGCAATGAAGTTCGTATGAGTATGTCTTAAATTTGCCAAAGTTTGATAAACATTTCGCCGATATTTCGTCGCCATTTTATCATTCAAATTTCAAAATAGAAATTCTAAGTGGAAATGATCACAGAAATGTTGATATTCAATAATGTTTATCGACAGAAAAATGCAATTTAGACGAGCAAAAATGCGGTGTTTATTCTAGTCAATAGAAGTATTTAAAGAGCCTTATTCATACGACCCAATTTTGTTCTCCCCAATTCGACTTTTGATGGATGTTTTATGGTCTGTTGACTTAGGTATATGTGCAGCGTTTACCAAAAGCCAGGGCAGTGCTTTATCAATAACAGACTACATTCCCTGCGACAAACTGAGTAAATTGGATCATTTGATCAGACCTTAAGATTATGTAAAGTCATGCTGCTCATATCTTCTGCTTATAACAGTTAGCAAGTTAAGCAACATTGTCGTTGTAGGCGACTTGGCGTGTTGCGAATGTTAACAGGGGTATTTTTTTGTGTTGCTACACGCCCCAGTTTTGGCATATTGGTCGTTTAAACGCGACGTCCGTCGGTACCAGTGAACTCTATACAAATGGAACGATAACTCCTGACAAACATCCCTATTCAGCTTGAAACCAAAGTAGTTTTTCGGAGTTTTGAGACGGAATACTTGACGCTAGACGTTGGGTTGTGTGTCAAATTAAAGCTATTGAAAAGTTATATTTAGTGTAGAAATTTCCAATTTCCAAAAACACTTACCAACCGGCATAAAACCGGGAAATTGAATCTCGGCTAACTGGACACGTGTAAAAGCCACTTGGATAAAATTTCCCCCAGCTTTTCCAGATTCCTGCCGGTTGGGTATCGGGTTTTGTAAAGTTACCAAACACCACCATATCACCGGGTACAAACGCTTCTTTCATGTCAAACAGGATTTTGGCCGGGAACAGCAGGTTCTTCAGGGCGAAGAGGGACACTGACGTGAAGTTTTTTTGAAAATCTGAACCAACTGCGAAGGAAAACGCCGAAACATCTTCAGGAGAATTCAGTTGTCGATTTTCAAGTAAATTCTACTCAAGGCTGGCGAATAAATACAGGGTCCAAACGCAAGTAAGATTTTTTTTCGAGTAAGTTTAAAAATCATGTCTGGCACAGAATTCATGCAGGCAAAAGTTGTTTAAAATGTGCAACCGTCATATTTGTAACCCTCCACGGGAAAACATATATTAACGCTTTTCCGTTTAAATGAGCAAAAAAACGGATTACAAACGGTTAGTAAACGGATGCTGTAAAGCGTTTTCACGCTTCGTTAAAACGTTAAAACGGTTCGATGAAAAAATTTAACGCTTTCAAGAAAGCGTTTTTACGCTTTGGAGAAAGCGTTTGCACGGATACGAATAACCGTTGAAACGCGCAGAAAAATGAACCGGTTTTTTGGATGGGCCGATTCATCCGTATAAACGGTTTGACGAATTTATATACCCAATTTCACGGACGAAACCAGACGATTTTGGGAAACCTTTGATCCTAGACCATGATACTGGTGTTTAAATCAAACAACGGTAAAATATATCAACTGTCTGTTGCATGGGCATGCATGTTTGATACACCGGGAGGGGAAAAATGATTAACAGGTAAACGCAAGTAGCGGATGTAACATTATACGTTGTTTATGTTCAGCTAGGAGGGAGCCAGAGCTTCCATCGCTATCCGCACACTGCTCTTTATTGCTTCGTAATCCCAGTACAGCATGGATAATATTAAAATCATAAAATGGAGTAAAATTGTAAAAACAATAGCAAAATATACCTGAAGGACATGGTATGATACATGCCGTCCAACAGCTTTAGGGCTAATTACGCTGCGTTGACAGCTACACATAAATACTCGATCAATGTCATATGTACCTAGTCAACGAAGTTAATTATAGGTAGTAGAAGCAAGCAGACCAGTAACAGTCATACAGTTGTGATTTGCCACTCGTGCGAAGCAATTTACTTTGTTGTTTATGTGTGACCTTCCACGGGAAAAAATACGTTAACGCTATTTGGTTCCTTGAAAAATATCGTTCATTATATCCATTCGTTTGCCATTCAAACACTTCAAGCGTTCTTGCGTTCGTTGAAACGATTTTCGAGATCGTTCATCCTTCGAAATTGCCCGTTCAAATGCCTCGAGAAAAAAAGTTCGAAAATGGTTCAAAAAGCGTTCAACCGTTTTGATTTACCGTTCGTTGGAACGTTTGCCGGAATTTTGTTCAATCGCATTGCATTTGGTAGAACATTAGATTAAACATTTGCAATGTTAATTGTTACAACTTTATAGAAGAAGCGACGAAGGTGTAACACATAATATTCCTAGAAGCGTATTCAGTTCCTTAACAGAAGGCTTGTAAAGGGGTTATATTATTTTAGCCGAATCGAATGCTATTTCGTGCGCTTCAAGATTTCTCTTAGCGTTCAGTGCATGCAATTATGTCATTAAGCTCAAATTTCAAGTCATAAACTGAAAAAACTGTCTTTCAAAAATTTATTGTTTTTCGAACGCCGCAATAATGCAATGGTTAGAATCTATGCTTTAATACTTTTGTTGTTTTCATAAAGCCAAAGTTCAATGCGCGCACAAACATGCAATGTCTCTAGCCATCTATACATTAAAACAGCATTACGTAGAATTGCATAGTTGTTGTGTGGTTGTTGGAAGCCGTTTAAATAGTCATTGGGATAGATACGAAGCAACCTGATAGTAGGAGCAAAACCGGATAACTGCATATCTATAGTAGCCTATGCAATGATTAAAACCCTTATATAGTTGTGTAAACAATGAAATAAATGTAAATAACTATTAAACTACATCGCAATAATTGTATCAACAATAGACATAGATCTTTTGAAGTGCTTGATCGTGGACGCCGACGTTCACCGGCCGAGGGCGATCCGAATAAAACACTTCGCAACTTTCGGCAAAGACAGATCCATCAAGCAGTGAAGCACATTTATAATCAAGCATCTTATGTTTGGTTATAATTTGATTTCCCTCGACTAGCTCCTCGAATCGGAAACGTGGAACGCGGAAAAGCTCAAATTGTACAAATGATAGAGATTGTATGAAAGTAATGAAAAAAATAGAACCACAAGGAAGTCGCCCAATGAACATCATAATATCGCTCACTGAAATTTAGCGTAGCTAAACTTTGATAGGCACAAAACACAAGCAATACTAATTGTTCAAAATAATCAGGATCATGTGACAAATATAACAAACCAGAAAATATAATCGATATTATACTATTTAACTATATATATATATATAAGCTTTCTGGATATTAAACTATAGCATAAGCAATGAAAGACACGGTCTACAAATTGCGTGTTTTACGAGGTAAAGTTTTAGCGCTATGTTTTTACCAAGTTTGTGCAGTCCTT